ACATGCCTGGAAAGCAAAAATCAAGAAACAGAAAGAGTAGAGCGACTCGCCTCTGACTCAGCCTTGGAAGCGTTTCCCCGTCTTTTTGTTTTAGTGCTTTTTTTTTTTAAATTAGCCATTCTTTATTCACCTTTAGTGACAAGTTCCGAAGAGAGTTAACGGTATCTTTAGTCACTTTGAAGTTCGAGAATCAGTCGAGTACTGGTGAGACTCTTCTCTCAAGTTGATTCACTTAAAAGGTCATTGCTCCAAATATTGCTGGCGACTCAATGTGCTCTTACAATCTCTTTCTTCGCCGCCTAGGACCGTATTTTTAACAGCGCTTACCACGACAGTAACCCATCAGAGCGAGTCAAGTACGGTGTACTAAACATAGGTGAGCATGACACCATGACTTGAATGCCACACCAGAGAATCCCTAGTATCTATCACAAGGGAAAGGATGATTACCTTCTAACATTTTTATTTTGCTAACAACCATAAGAAAATCATGATGATCACTTGTATCAACCTTTAATAAATAGCCAAAACGGCTCAGAGCCTTCTTCCATTGAATCTTGTAGACTGCCATAAAATTCGCCGATCAGCTAGGCAGAGGAACAAAAGAGATGTCATAACTTGCCAATTGCTAATACATGTAGCCCTACATCGAGCGCAGGAAAGTGCACATGACCAAGTCACACGTAATTGCAGTGTTTGAATTTTTAAAACGGTGGGGTGTGATGTCGGAACCAATCTTAAAGCCCGGTGAAGTAAAACCAATGAAATCATAGGTTACTTTTTAATAACCAGTTCGAAAATCGCTCCAAATAAAGCTTATTTTTCTATCATCAAAGTGCTGTTAGAAAGCGATAGTTTACTGACCTTCTCTTATCTGTACTATTTGCCCGGCTTCCTAGTTGGCGATCCTCGTGGTGTAAGAAGCTGTATTCATTATGGAGATTCCTTTCTACAGGTTAGCCTCTTTTGTTACTTTCGTGCTAGGAAATCTACTAAGTGAATAAAGATCGCTCGCTTAATTAAAGAAAACATACATGATTGGAGAGTAATCCAGCACCATTTACGCACCAGCGATATCAGCTGCATGTTCTCGCCACCAAGTTGTGCAGTAAGAGTCAAATCTGAAAGTACAATCAATCCAATGCTGTGTTGGCGGTATTAAGGCACAAAGTTTTCCATTTTTTCACCTTTTGCGTACCAAAATAGCTTGAATTTACAAAGTGTCTCAAATCTCCCAATCCCACCATCAAATTTAAGTTAACCTCTTATGAGAATAGCTTAGACGTGTTAGATAGCATCTTGCACCTTCGACTTGGCCTTGTCATCACTGATTTACTGCCAAATCCTCTGATTGCCACCTGTACTTACTTTTTTGTAGTTAACACGCACTAAAAGCTCCAACAAGCCATTCTCTATGGAGTTGCATTGAGAATCCATCGTAATTGTTCCACTGAAGAGCTTTTTCTTTCTTTCCAAAGGAAGTGAAGAATACAATGATATAACAAGTTACAAAATTACAATAATTATCCAATAAATTCATCATACGAGAAAGCTTTCAACAAGGGGAGATCCAAATTCTCACAAAAGAGACTCAAGCCCAGCAAAAACAAGTTTCTTCTGTTAACGAGAGGACACTTGGTTGTTTTAATGTTGACAGGCTGTTAAATTCCTTTAACGCCCAGGTTGAGGGAAACCATGTTTTCAATCTCTGTGCGGTGGAAAACGATATCTTCCTAAATTCATTCCATCATTGCCAGACTTCCCATTATAAGCTTTCAAATTGAGACTTCTTCGTTTATTATTTTCCTTTCTGGGGCATGCAACTCTTAAATGGAAAAGTCGCAAAACAAAAATAACCTGTCTTCAGCAGCATAGTCACTTTCATTCTCGGACTTAACACATATGTTAAACTATAACTGAGATGACACTGGAACGGGTCAAAAGTCCTGGATTCCAGAAGCGTTTGTATCAACTGAAACTTACCCACACAATGCACATGCCTGTGTCACCATATTAGGAGAAGCGGTTTATTTTAAAATTTTAGCATCTGTTTTGTTCTTAGCTAAGAAAAGTTCGTCTTCGTACCACCTTCGCTTCTATGGACACATCCGGTGAAGGAGTCAAGCTGTCATGTTGTGAACATTATGAAAACGTCCTCTTTGCATACACAGACAACGAGATAACTGCGGTGAATAATTTCAATGCGATACTTTTTCTACCTACTCCTATTTTTCTGTCTCCTTTGCTTGTTCTTTTGATTGATTGCGAATTGTTTGTGCCAGTATTTTTTAATTTCATCGTGTGCTCTGATCGTTCGGGTCGGAGTAGTCCTAAGGAGTTTGGCAGTGGTGACTGACACCTCGAAAACCGTAGAGGAAGTCATAATTAGGGTCAAGATGTACGACGAACATCTGAATTTTCTATGCGTAACGAAATTGTCAAACACGTCTCTTCAATTCCCCAGATAATGGATGTAGCCAATGGAAAGGTTCCATTTCATCGATCAGACTGTATATCAAAGTACAAAGAGGTAATATGCGTACTTTGTTTCGTGTTTGTTTTTTAATTTTGCTGTTGGCCATAATTGAAATAGTTTGTGCTGGAATATCAGCACTAGGTGTTTTGTTATGTGCTGGACACAGTGCCTTCACGTTAAAAATATCTATCTTCCTAACCTGTTGAATACGCACGACGAGTAAAACAAACTCTCACAAGGAGTCGACGTTTATGCGATGAGAATGCTCAATCCTGCCTCTGCGGCCTGGGTTCAAGTCGCGGGGAACCTTCCTGGGCTGTACCGAGAGGTTTCTTCGAGTTCGCCAATTTCCTCCTTCCACAAAGATCAACAGTTTTTTACTTGTTTTCTCTTCATGTTTTGTTTTATTTGATCTTTTGTTTGTTTGTTTTTTCCATGATAGTTGCTTGCAAACCTTTGCATGTATTTTAGTTCGTCAGTCTTTATGGTCCCTAGCAGGAACTCAAAATGAGCTTTTGTAATTATTCTAGATCTGATAACCCATCGGGTTTCAAATATTTGAGTCGATATTTACACGACAGGTTCAAATTCACGGACCAGTCAGCCTATCTGAGAATGTTGAGTGTATTGTGGTGAACTCTCGCCACCACAAAGACCCAAAGATCAAGAATATGTTGGACCGTTTAGTGGAACAAAACAATTTTAACCTTATTTGGATGGATCCTGATGACTTATCAAGTCCAGCGCCTTTTCCGTTTGGCGCCATGGGCCATTACTCGTTAACGGAGTCTTCATCTGGTTCTCTCTCTGCTCCTCCTAGAAGACGGACTCATGGCAAGGTCCGCAAAAGAAGTCGTAAACGAACATTTCCACATTAAGGAAAGGACATTGTGTGTTTGTCATGATCAGGAATGGAGAGAATTGGGGAGGCTCCTTCAAGGAGTACACTGTACCATCACAGTGCTTTTTGGAGTATCTTAGAGCAAACTACACCATCCTTCCACATTCGCAAAAGCATGCTACGGCAAAGTTGTGCTTGGGTTTGGCCAAGTCCACAAGATCACACTCTTTAAACCATAAATTATTGCATTGATGAAAAACAAACATAAACAAGGTTTGAAAGTCTTATGTTTAATCTTTTGTCAGGCGATGGACTCTTAGACGAACTAAAAAAAAGCAAGCCATTAAACCTTTTTTGAACGTCGTTGCCAGTTTTCTGGACGTAAAAAAAAACAATTTTTTAAAGAACAGCCCTTTATTCTCTGTAGTCTGTAATTGAAATTAAATTTTAATTAAGTGAAAGATCTTTCCCTGAAACATTCGTCAATCTGCAAATGCAAAACCCTCATTTTGATCACTAGGATGGAATGACACAACTTATGAAAATTTGAGACAAACAGCAATTTTCATAATGCTTTTGCATAACAGAAAATCAGGATGTGTTACAATTCAAAGTCAAACTCTAATCCAGATCCTTTCAATTTTACCAATACGTCCTTCTCTTTTATCCACGTAACGCCTAGGGGCATTTAGCATACGTGCATTGTAAACGAGTATGCTGAATGTACCTAGGCGTTATGTGGATAAATAAACCATCTATCTATCTTTATATAATAAGCTCAGTTATGCACGCATTCGGATTGGTTCTTACTTATGATCTATTGGAGGACAGACGTATAGATGATGTCCTCATTAAAACTTTTTTTTCCGTATATTTTAATTCTTTATTATTTAAAACAAATAGATTCCAAGTTGCCGCGCGTCTGTTCAGTAATAGATCACAGAGGACGTCAAAATGTGGTAAGAACATCAGCGACACACTCGGCGCCACTTTTGTGTTAATCGATAAATAGCCAAGGATTTATAAGACATCCGGAATAGGGTCATGAAAGCTAGTGGGAGATTTGGTGCAAAAAGAGATAAAAATAGTACTAAAGCCTGGATCCCTGCAGTAAAATAACTCTAAAATAGCATCGTCTTTGCATTGCTTTTTGGCACTGAAATACACTTGTAGTCCTCTAATGGTTATAATCCAAAGTTGAGATCCTTTGAAAATCCTATTTGTTTGAAAAAGTTCCCTCGATAATTATTATCAATAAGTTTACGTACACTTGATGTCTTTACCACAACTTCGGAGGTACTCACAAGTCATAACTTAATTATGAAGCTGATCATTAACTTGTTGGAAGATAATTAACAGAGTCTTTATCTGGTTCTCTCTGTCCTCCACCTAGAAAACACTCTGATGGCAAAGTCAACACAAGAAGTCCTAAACGAAAATATTCACATTAGGGAAAATACACTGAGCATTCATCAAGATCAGGGGTTCAGCCTGATTAAGTATCTGTAGTGTGTAATTGAAATTAACTTTTAATTAGTTGAAAGATCTTTCCCTCAAAGATATGTCACTCTGCAAATGCAGACTCTTCATTTTGACCACTAGACTAGAATGACATAAGTTATGACAGTTTGAGACAGATGATAACTTTCATAGTGCCCATGCGCAGCAGAAAATTATGATGTGTCACAGTTCAAAGTCCAACTCAAGTCCAGATCCTTTCAATTTTGCCATTACTTCCTTCTCAAATCTCTCGTTTAACTCTGGGGTGAAGTGTTCCTTCCAGTTACCAACCACACCCTTCTGGAGAAGCTTTGGACCATCTTCCTTGCCACGTAACAAGTAACTTTGAACATTCTTCATCATTCCTTTAAAAGTGCACTGCTCGGCAATGAGATTGGTGAGATCATCTGGCAGAGGCTTGTTAAGGAAATCAGCAATTATACGAACATTGGACAGGAGATCCTGGGAAATATAATCACTCCTTCATTATCAATCCATCTTTTAGAACAGATACTTAGAATCTCATGATCAACTACAATTATAGCACAGTGTTATTTTCCATATAAAAATACAAAATACAAGGTACAAAAAACGAATAAAACAATATAGGGGGCCATCTTTTACAGGTGTCTCTCCATAAACAGAGAGTTAACTGTATGATGCAAGCTAAACTTTTGCATTAAAGGCATTTTAATTTACTTGATCGCCTTATCTGACTTCAATTTTTGCTTTCCATGAGTAATTGTGGGCATCTATCAAACTCTTCTCATACATTTAATAATATGTTCAAAAAGTTGAAATGTTCATAAAAAGTCCACTTTTGTTTATTCATTAACCCTTTAACCCGTAAGAGTAACTGGCATCTAATTTCTCCTTACCATATCACCCCTGAATCAAACATTAAGGTCA